TTCTTTCTTTCTTTCTTTCTTTCTTTCTTTCTTTCTTTCTTTCTTTCTTTCTTTCTTTCTTTCTTTCTTTCTTTCTTTCTTTCTTTCTTTCTTTCTTTCTTTCTTTCTTTCTTTCTTTCTTTCTTTCTTTCTTTCTGTTTTGTTTTTGTTTTTGAACAGTGTAGTAATAGTCGGCGTCTGTGGCTTAGGCGTTGCCTACGCGCTTTGTAATGCCGGGGTGCTGGGTTTGATCACAGCTGCGGGCCTTGCGCTGGTTTCGACAGTGGCATCAAGAAGCCGACCGTCTAGTAAGCAATGGCGAACTACTGGACATGAATTTGGAGTAAAAAACTACAACAGCCAAAAAGTGCTAGGGTTGGTTCTGCACTGTCCTGTCAAGGATTCGCATCTAGACAATAACCCTGCTGTGTGTATAGAGTGTATAGAGCAGACGAGGCAGAAACCATCTCTCGTCGTGTCCTTGTAAATCCTTAAGGGACCACACATCAGCACCTTTTTTAAAGGACTCTTCTCGTCAGGTGTATTGGGTTCTATACAGGGCTAGATCTATATTTTGTAGACCAATCGGAACTTTTCGGGTGATGTGGTCAGCATCACGCCGGCCGCCTTTAGTTCCCAGGACTGCACCTGGTATTTGCTCAAGGCTGGGTCGACCTGGGAGCCAATGTCATTTCTGAAGAAAGCCCGGCTCTTCAAGGACCCAAACCCACCACCTTCCGATCTGTGGGAAAGCTTCTAGCCATGACACCACGGCGACTCAAGGTTACCCAAGATACAGTAATATATAACTACAACTTACGCAACATCAGTCATCTGACTGAGACCGCACCACACAGTGGCGAAAACAGTGTCCCATCTTTGCAAGCTCCCTCTTGAGCACACAGCCAACTAATCCTCTAGAATAGATACACGTCAAGCTGAAGCTTCACATAAATCTAGTCTAGACAGCATTCACGGCCCTCCTGTAACTCTCAGAATTCACGCCTATCTTGTACTTTTGGGCAGACTTCACGCACATCATGTACTCTCAGACAGACTTCGCACCTATCTTGTACTCTCAGACAGACTTTATGCCAATCGTTTACTCTCAGACAGACTTCACGCCTATCTTGTACTCTCAGACAGACTTCATGCCAATCTTGTACTCTCAGACATACTTCACGCCTATCTTGTACTCTCAGACATACTTCACGCCTATCTTGTACTCTCAGGCAGACTTCACGCCTATCTTGTACTCTCAGACAGACTTCACGCCCATCACATGCTCTCAGACAGACTTCATGCCTATCTTGTACTCTCAGACAGACTTCACGCCTATCTTGTACTCTCAGACAGACTTCACGCCCATCATATACTCTCAGACAGTACTCTCACACAGACTTCACGCCCATCACATACTCTCAGACAGACTTCATGCCAATCTTGTACTCTCAGACAGACTTCACGCCTATCTTATACTCTCAGACAGACTTCACGCCTGTCTTGTACTCTCATTCAGACTTCACGCCTGTCTTGTACTCTCAGATAGACTTCACGCCTATCTTGTACTCCCAGACACACTTCACGCCCATCACATACTCTCATTCAGACTTCATGCCAGTCTTGTACTCTCAGACAGACTTCATGCCAGTCTTGTACTCTCAGACAGACTTCATGCCAGTCTTGTACTCTCAGACAGACTTCATGCCTATCTTGTACTCTCAGACAGACTTCACGCCTATCTTGTACTCTCAGACAGACTTCACGCCCATCACATACTCTCAGACAGACTTCATGCCAATCTTGTACTCTCAGACAGACTTCACGCCTATCACATACTCTCAGACACACTTCACGCCCATCACGTACTCTCAGAATTCAGTCTAACGAATACTCTCATTCACATTGTCTCCTTCACTTTATTTTCACAAACCCCCAGACTTGATTACTCTGGCTTAAGCATGCACTCTTTTAACCCGAGTTATTTGGCCTTCAGCCATTCTTGGCCTTGCAAACAGTATTCTCCAGGTGGCCAAGTGGCCAAAATCTTTATTCTATGCCATCTGATTACTATGAATAACCTACTCCCCCTCCCGTCTTTTTAAAAACTGTCTGATAATCAAATCCCCTGTTTTAACTTCTAATTTACTGTGGCCATCATGTCACTACAGATCTTTTACGTACATGGTAGTATCTACACTGGCGATTCAGACATACATCCGTCTTAGGACATGAATGACGCAGAGATTCAACGCTGGTGACCCAGAGATTCGACGCTAATAACCCAGATTCGACGCCAATGACCTAGAGATTCGACGCTAGTGACCCAGAGATTCGACGCTAATGACCCATAGATTCAACGCTAATCCCAATCTGGTTAGTATCTTAGAGTCGTTGTCCGATACACACCGAGTTCGTACAACGTTGATGACATCAGCTCTGTTGATACTTCTGCCTACATGTGTTGGTGCGTTACCTGCCAGAAGGTCCGCTCCTTCATTACTTCTGACTCTGACATTCCCAGATGTGTAGATCCAGGCGAGACAGGTCAAAATCGACCTCCTGACGCTGTGCTGTGGGAACTTCTGGTGCAGTCATCAGAAACTGCTGGGTTGTTCTGACTGTTTTAGCTTTGCATTAGACTCAGTTAAAAAACAAGGAGTACTAGACAGTTTACAGGCACGGCATGGCGAAGAGGAAGAGAACTGGCTACTGGAAACCATATATGCTGTAGCCTAGGCCTTGTCCTGAAATCCTGACGCGGGCTTCTGCCATGTGCCCTGATATACGTTGGGTCACGTCACCTTGAAAAAAAAAAAAAAAAAGAAAGGAAGAAGGAAAAGAAGAAAAAAAAAAGAGGCAGAGGAATTGGAGAAAATAATAGAAACAAGAAGAAGAAGCTACAGAAGAAGTAGTAGTAGAAGTAGTAGTAGTAGTAGAAGAAGAAGAAGAAGAAGAAGAAGAAGAAGAAGAAGAAGAAGAAGAAGAAGAAGAAGAAGAAGAAGAAGAAAAAGCTACAGAAGAAGCTACAGAAAAAAAAAGAAGAAGAAAAAGAAGAAAAGGAGGGGAAGGCGGAGGAAGGGAAGAAAGAAAATAGAAAACGCAGAAGGAAAAAGAAGAAAACACAAAGAAAGACAACAAAACTAACAACGCAGATAGCTGGATCCTAACTCCGAACTATAACATGGTTGTCGCAGATTGAATCGACCTGGGACCGGACAGGGATAAAACAATAGGATGTGACATCGAGTTTTTTGTTGACGGGGCCTGTTGCTTGGTAATTGATCCAGCCGTATTTGGGAAGTCGACCTGCTTTTTCAAGGGGACTGCTGCAATGACAACGGTGTTTTAGTTGTGAACGGGCGCTCAGGAAATGAAATCCCTCACAACGACAATACAGTGGACAAAGTCCATCCACGTGACAACGACAGAGCATTAGTTAAAGTACACAAGTTTGGATTTACGGCGTCAAAATTCTGACTAGATACAATCGTATGCGGACCAGATCTTCAGCTTTTACAAACTAGGGTAGTGGATGGGACGGCTTAACTCTTCGGATAATGGCGGATAACCAGATAACATATGTGTTCGTTGGCCTCTTGGTAGTTTGACTAGACAATGTTGAGCCGGAAAAAAACGTATGTCCACAGAAAGTTCAGTTAAAATCGAGGTGATAGACCTCACTGCACCGGTTCTATCCCACGTGGCTTGGTCTCCTCCGAAGTACTAGCCGCTTGCCGAGAGCATCGATCAGAGCACGAATTCCGTAGCTTCAGCGACTACTGATTTACTTTCTCGTTTGACCTGTAGGGGAGGTTTTATATCTTCTACGTCAGCTGTGAAGGTGAACCTTTACAATATAGTACACGATGTAGATTGTGGAGGATTGCTAAATTCTAGTGTGATAAGTGGTAGCACTGATAAACGAACGAAAATTCCCCGACAATAATCTCTTAGATGGCCTTTCAGCCCATTTAAGGTCCCTCTCAGTCCATTTAAGGTCGCGAACACAGCAAAGTTCAACGGTATCAAATTGTGTCAATAATGATTAGAGCAAACCGGTAAACAGGACTTTGGCCGACAAACTACAGCCCAGCAGACGGGATCGACATCGACTGCATTGATTGATTGATCTGATGGCTGGCGTGGGGCAGGCGGGAAATGTCAAAACATGGCTTCCTACTAGACAGACTGTGGATACAGATGGCTAAATGAAGATGGCGGACAGAAATTACAGATCACCAGGAGGGAATCTTCAAGTGGGAGGTCACAATTTAAAATGTTTTGAGGATTGCAGGTAGGATAGCACTGTCTAATTGAAGGTTACCCGCAGAGCATTCTCAATGAGGTGATGAAGAAGAATTCGGAAAAAATTTTTATTTTTATTTTTATTATTAAAAGCTAGTAGTATAGGCGCTATAGTTTTTTTTTTTTTAATTCACACAATACACATTGTACAATTTCAAAAACGTGCATCACAACCCTTTGTATGTTTTGATGTAGTATTAAGGCAAGCGCACATGTGCCTCAGTCTGCCTGCTTACAGTAAAAAGACTTCATCAGAGAAGGTAATCTTCATAAAACACATAGGCCTCACATCGCGAGCAGATCCGATTACTGACATTTCGCTTGTGTGTGGTTGCTGCAGTGTGTGGATGCGATCACTAAAAGATTATGTGTGGTCTCCACTAGTGTGGGAATGCGATTACTTTGATTAATGGAACTCTGGGAAATCTGGAGGCAGTATTGATGTCGTTTATGAAAGTTTTGTAGTCGCGAAAGAGGAAACAACAGCAGCAACAGGAACCATATAATGATGTATTGTTCACCTCTCGGTCCACTTGAACTTGTTTAGTTCTCTCCCAAAGCTCTACATTAGTGATTCTATTATACCATTTAATTCCCTCTATTTTGCACAGGCACGAGTTAATGAATGTTTGTAGCTTACTAGTAAGTGTTTTGGTTGTTTCCTTTTCAGAAGAGAAAAAGGAAATACTTGACTCAATTATCTGGTGTGGGGAATGTGTTTGTGTGGTTATTTGATACTTGCTGATACAGCCAACACTTTGAGCGAGTTTGCACAGACGGTTGAGGGTCGAGAGAGTGAGATTGATGGAGGTGGGATGGAGTGGTTGGTGTGAGTGGTGGTTGGTGGAGGGAGCCTGGTTGGCCTGGAGTTTGATCTTCAGACCTAAAGAAATCAGTGTGACTGCACAGATTTATCTCTTGATCTGTGTTGATTGTAGGTCGTTAAATCGCTGGACCTGATAACCTGTTGACCTGTAGAGTAGTTTTTCGGGTTATCTAGAGCCGGGCTAATTTAAAACAGCTATACCGGCAGTCTGAACGGGGTACGTACACAAACATAGGCAGACCAAAAGAAAAACAGTTACATACACAAACATAGGCAGACTAAAGGGAAAACAGTCACATACACAGACATAAGCAGACTAAAGGGAAAACGGCCACATACACAAACATAGGCAGACTAAATGAGAAACAGCCAAATACACAAACATAGGCAGACTAAATGAGAAACAGCCACATACACAAACATAGGCAGACTAAATGAGAAACAGCCACATACACAAACATAGGCAGACTAAATGAGAAACGGCCACATACACAAACATAGGCAGACTAAATGAGAAAACAGCCACATACACAAACATAGGCAGACTAAATTAGAAACAGCCACATGCACAAACATAGGCAGACTAAATTAGAAACAGCCACATGCACAAACATAGGCAGACCAAGTGAGAAACAGCCACATACACAAACATAGGCAGGCCAAGTGAGAAAGAGCCACATACACAAACATAGGCAGACCAAGTGAGAAACAGCCACATACACAAACATAGGCAGACCAAGTGAGAAACAGCCACATACACAAACATAGGCAGACCAAGTGAGAAACAGCCACATACACAAACATAGGCAGACCAAGTGTGAAACAGCCACATACACAAACATAGGCAGACTAAATGAGAAACAGCCACATATACAAACATAGGCAGACCAAGTGAGAAAGAGCCACATACACAAACATAGGCAGACTAAGTGAGAAACAGCCACATACACAAACATAGGCAGACTAAGTGAGAAACAGCCACATACACAAACATAGGCACACTAAGTGAGAAAGAGCCACATACACAAACATAGGCAGACTAAGTGAGAAACAGCCACATACAAAAACATAGGCAGACTAAGTGAGAAACAGCCACATATACAAACATAGGCAGACAGAAGGAAAGACAGAAACTTAGACAGACATAGACAGACTGAAGTGAAAACAGGCACATAGACACTACCATACAACACCATGTGTATTATGCTACTGTCTCTGTCTACCACACAACACTATGTGTGGTGTGCTACTGTCTCTGTCTACCACACAACACCATGTGTGGTGTGCTACTGTCTCTGTCTACCACACAACACCATGTGTGGTGTGCTACTGTCTCTGTCTACCACACAACACTATGTGTGGTGTTCTACTGTCTCTGTCTACCACACAAAACACCATGTGTGGTGTGCTACTGTCTCTGTCTACCACACAACACCATGTGTGGTGTGCTACTGTCTCTGTCTACCACACAAAACACCATGTGTGGTGTGCTACTGTCTCTGTCTACCACACAAAACACCATGTGTGGTGTGCTACTGTCTCTGTCTACCTCACAACACTATGTGTGGTGTGCTACTGTCTCTGTCTACCACACAACACTATGTGTGGTGTGCTACTGTCTCTGTCTACCACACTCAACACCATGTGTGGTGTGCTACTGTCTCTGTCTACCACACAACACCATGTGTGGTGTGCTACTGTCTCTGTCTACCACACAACACCATGTGTGGTGTGCTACTGTCTCTGTCTACCACACAACACCATGTGTGGTGCGCTACTGTCTCTGTCTACCATACACTACCATGTGTGGTATGCTACTGTTTCTGTCTACCACACAACACTATGTTTGGTGGGCTACACTCTCTGTCTACCACACAACACTATGTGTGGTGTGCTACTGTCTCTGTCTACCACACAACACCATGTGTGGTGTGCTACTGTCTCTGTCTACCGTGTGGTACTGTGCTACATGTGTGGTGTGCTACTGTCTCTGTCTACCACACAACACCATGTGTGGTGTGCTACTGTCTCTGTCTACCATACAACACCATGTGTGGTGTGCTACTGTCTCTGTCTACCATACAACACCATGTGTGGTGTGCTACTGTCTCTATCTACCACACACAATACCATGTGTGGTGTGCTACTGTCTCTGTCTACCACACACAACACCATGTGTGGTGTGCTACTGTCTCTGTCTACCATACAACACCATGTGTGGTATGCTACTGTCTCTGTCTACGACACAACACTATGTTTGGTGGGCTACACTCTCTGTCTACCACACAACGCCATGTGTGGTGTGCAAGTATGGTGTGCTACTATTTCCGTCTGTCCAGACGATAGTTTTTATTGTGACATCAGGAGACATGGCAATCACAGCCCATGGCGATGGCGAGTATGACTAGCAAGACCCCCTGTGTTAACAAGTTTAAAGTTTGAACAGCCGATCAACATCAGGGCACACATAAATGCTCCGTTCTTCTTCTAACTCAAGTCTGAATTCGAAGAAGCTTAGCATAGTGCACAGGATCAGTAGCACTGGCGAGGATCTTGAAATACTTTGGGTAGATTTTTTACTCAAAATTTGCCCCGTTAGGTTACTCTTTTCGATTTCCAACTGCCAAGGGATTTTCTACGTGCGCAGCAATGCACACGGGCGTCCGATCTCACAACCCAGAGACCAGGTGGAATTACTAGAAGTCCAAGTTCATGTGAAAAAAATCCCACTCATTACCGGGGATTGAACCCAGAATCTTTAGCATTTGAGGCGGACACCTTGCCTCGAGACCACGCAGCCCAATCGCGTTACAGCGTTAACAAAAATCTTTTACAGTAAATTCATCTGATTAAGAACTGTTTATATCTACCTGTCAGATATACCTTGGATATATATTTACTATATATCATTTCTAGCCTGGTTAGGTTCACTGTGTCTGTCTGCAGTAATATCTTCGGAACGATTTCATTTTCCATGTTCCCGTAAGATGTCTTTTCTGACATCTATATTTCTTTCCTGAACTGCCACTTAATGAATGCCAACGAATTCCCATGAATGCATCCACTGGACCGCGAATTCAGCCTGGTAACTTGGACTCCATAAATCGATCTAATTCATCGACCTTGATGTGCTCACATCTCTACCCGCATGAAAGTCTACTTCGCAAGATCTCTGACAGTCAAATGGCCTCTAAATATAATTGTGTACCGGTTGCAGATCTCCACGTATGGATATGAACCGCGTCCTCCTTCGCTGGCTTGTGATGCGAAAGTAAAAGGTTCATAGCAACATGATACGTCTAGCTGAGTTCATACTGGTGCTTTTAACATGTCAACTGCCCAGGGTGGGTTCTTGGTCCCTGTTTTTTTTTAAATTAAGGGGGGGGAGGAGGGGGAAGTGGACCCACTGAGGGCAGGGAATAGACCCAATGATCCCAACAAGTAAGTGGCAAAAGCCGACAAATTAGGGTAGTTTCCTTCGAAATCGGAGTGCATAGGCCTAAGAGGCAAGCAAAAAAGAGGCCTGCACACAGTTAAGCCATATCTGTAAACCAGATGTGCACACAAAACGCAAGTTCTAAAACAAAACCAAAAGTGGACGAGCAAACAGAACTTGCCACCATAGTTTACAGCCGGTGAATGGTAAGAAGAAGAAGAAGAAGAAGAAGAAGTGACATGTGACACTAATCTTTGAGTTTGTTCAATCTTGTGTACAGACAATGCACAACATCGGCGTCCACCGTGGCATTTGTCGGGATCCTAAATATAGCCTGACGACTAAACGGGATTTCCGGGATCTTTACACGGGTGATCTTCATCTGCATGGTGGCACCCTGTATCAACGGGTGTTTATCGCTCGGTGTAATGTCCTGGTGGGGTAAAATTGACTCCCATCTTTCCTGATGTCAAGACGCATCTTCAGTTGCCCCATTCTTTTGGCTGACCAAGAGGACAGCAGACCGATTTCTGGTGATTGTCGTAACCAGTTTGTGTGTGGATGACTTTTCGTACAAAGCTGACCTATGATTTCCTACAGCCTGTCCTCTTCAGGACACTCGCCTGTGGATCAGAAGGTGGTGAGTTCAAATCCGAACGAAACTTGATTAAAAAAAAATTAATGGCTCGCGCTCCCTAGTCAACCCAGACTTAGAGATAACAAGTAAAGCCTTAGGAAGTAAAGGCGACCGGCGTGATGTTGACTACATCATTCACCCATTGCTGTATAGGTTTAGCACGTTATGCCCACTACGCCCAAAGACGTGGAAAGTGGTGTGTTTTCCCGTTCAACCTTCAGACGACTTCTGTAAAGGTATTCTGGCAAGATAAACTTGGTCGGTTTGACATGTATCCATGATTATAAGGGCAGCAACTTCCGCTTCACCACAAAAATATAGTATTATTGTGATAATGCCATCCTGTTGGAGTCCAGAAAATGTAACAATTTCCGTATTATTTCCCCTGCATATTTTTAAGGCAGCACGATGAAAGGGGTTTCAAATAACAGGAAGCTGCCTCAGTGAACAGGTTATGTGCTCTATATGCAGATCATATCTGTAGCTGATTTGCAACACCGGAAACTTGTTTATTAGTTTCAGTTGTTGAAGTATTGCTTCGTAAAGCTGGGTTCGATCCCTGCAGCAGACCGTCTTGCATTGGTCATGACATTGGTTTAAAGAGCCTATCGTTTACTAGCAGAGCCAGTGTGAACGTACATTTACCTATGGGGTGTTTCAACTCATGCCGCCACACTTCCACAAATACCTCCACAACTCCAGCACGGATCGAAACGAATGTTTCCATGTAGCCTTAGAGTTCCCACGTCGTCATGATTTTATATTGTACAGTTGCACAGGTGCCTCGGTTTTCTTCAAGCGACTTATTTCTTTGTTCTGTCTTTTACTCTTCTGATAGCCTCAACCATAGATACATCGGGCTGCTATAGAGTGTCTCTGATGTTATCGTTCCATTGAGGTCGTGGTCTATCTTGTGATCTTCGTCCATCTCCTCTTTTGGTGTTTGCCTTGTACGGTATGGTTCTGCAACGTCCTGTAAAAAACAGGCAACTAACTTGTTCGCTTATATTCTGAAAGGAATAAAAGGCCCGGGATGGGAGGGGGTGGTGACACAGAAAAAACAAAGGAGATATTAAATAATCAGAGCATTCATGTTACCTTGGACATTAAAATCAAGAAATTGTAACGTTTACTATGTGACTAATCTTGTTAGACTGCCGAGCTGTTGTTGCCAACAATTCGATTTGTATCGATGACGTTACAGTCACTTTTACATGAATAATGAATGGATCGTGTCCCTTGGAGGGTACCTGTGGATGAGTTATACACCCTTGAGGGTCATTGGGAACGATTTATTATGTCCCTTCCAGACGGCGAGTACAACAGTAACAAGAAACATGACAGGAACTAACCAGAGACATGAGAGGTCAAAGAAAAATTAAATTCAATTCCAGGCAGTATAATATAGAAGTCAGACAGTTACAATCACATAGAGGCAGGCGTGGAACATTTTGATGGTGCAGACCATTGAGATGAAGAGGGAAAAACATGAGGAAGTCTGGTACACTTGGAACAGTAACATAACGTAATCTTACCCTTGTCCCGTTAGGGTCGTGGAGGTGTATTGATGGAAGCACTAGCACATAAAACATGCCATCTTTCTATGTTTTCCTCTTGATGAATAAGTGTTTTGAAAACTCAGTCCTGTCCATTTCTTGATGTCATTCCGAGTTCTTTTTTATTCTTTGCCTTTCTCTTCTTCGACTACCTCCCAGTGTTCCTTGAAGTACAGTCTTCGCAATCGATGCGACCGGTATGATGTTGACCACATCACCCACTGAGTGCCGATTGGTCAATGAAAATATAGCTCTAGCCCTATATGCCCAATACACCTGAAGGCATGGAAAGGATTCGTTTTTGAGAGAAAACGAACAAAGTTTATTTTCAAAGGGGTAAGAATTGGGCACGCAGGCCTGTCCAACATTCTGCACTTCCTCTCCACTCCTAGCATACAGTTTTTCATCCTTACCTCATTTCACAGTTAATAATTTCACAAAACACAAGAAACTAGAAACAAACTGAAAAGAAAAGAAGAAGGGCTCAGTAGCAACCCTCGAGCGGTTAGCTAACGTGGCAAGACTGAGTCAACCGTGCCACGTTTATAAAATACCGCACTATAATTTCTCTTAAAATAGAACTCTAAATATTTAAATAAACAAGGCTGTAAACAGGGCCTAGGCCGACCTTGGCTTTATCAAAATAAATGATTAAAACCCCCAGTCACGCTTGACTTTCCATCATTAAGGAGAGACGCAATACGCATAATCCTGCGACGTGGGTGTATATGCATGTGTGTGCGCGTGCTTGCAGGTGTGTGTATGTGTGTGTGCATATATATATAAATGTGCGTGTATGCATATGTGTGTCTGTGTATAATGTATCTCTGTGTGTTTGTGAAACACACGATGTGTTGTGTGTATGGTGATATTGGGGAAAGATATCAAACCGAACGAAAAGTAAATCAGTGAGCTTCACAATGTAACACACACAAACAAAACGTGAACGTTGTGGCTATGGAGCTTTCTTCAGCACAAACATAGATTAGACAATACTCTGTAAATGCACAGTATAACTTATCTTCGTATCTTGTGGCAGCCAGATAGATGTCAAGCCAATAATCTGTGTGTATGGTGAGTGTGGAATGTGTGTGTGTGGATACATATTTTGTGTAAGTGTGTGTGTGTATGAGTGTCTGTTTCACCCACTGCTGTCTGTTTCACCCACAACTGTCTGTTTCACCCACAACTGTCTGTCACCCACTACTGTCTGTCACCCACAACTGTCTGTTTCACCCACAACTGTCTGTTTCACCCACAACTGTCTGTCACCCACTACTGTCTGTCACCAACTACTGTCTGTTTCACCCACAACTGTCTGTTTCACCCACAACTGTCTGTTTCACCCACAACTGTCTGTTTCACCCACAACTGTCTGTCACCCACAACTGTCTGTTTCACCCACTACTGTCTGTTTCACCCACTACTGTCTGTCACCCACAACTGTCTGTTTCACCCACTACTGTCTGTCACCCACAACTGTCTGTTTCACCCACTACTGTCTGTCACCCACAACTGTCTGTTTCACCCACAACTGTCTGTTTCACCCACAACTGCCTGTTTCACCCACTACTGTCTGTTTCACCCACAACTGTCTGTTTCACCCACTACTGTCTGTTTCACCCACAACTGTCTGTTTCACCCACTACTGTCTGTTTCACCCACTACTGTCTGTTTCATCCACAACTGTCTGTCATCCACAACTGTCTGTTTCACCCACTACTGTCTGTTTCACACACTACTGTCTGTTTCACCCACTACTGTCTGTTTCACCCACAACTGTCTGTTTCACCCACTACTGTCTGTCACCCACCACTGTCTGTTTCACCCACAACTGTCTGTTTTACCAACTACTGTCTGTTTCACCCACAACTGTCTGTTTCATCCACAACTGTCTGTCATCCACTACTGTCTGTTTCACCCACAACTGTCTGTTTCACCAACTACTGTCTGTTTCACCAACTACTGTCTGTTTTTTAGGGTGTTGTAGACTGACGGTCGTGAGCCTGGGGATTTAGGGCCGCACGGCTAGTGCTGTCGCCACGGACTGTGCAGGTTAGGTTGTTTAATGTTGCCCCCAACAGAAAAACTCCCAACTTACCGGGGAACGAACCCGGGTCTACCGCACGAGAGCCTGAGGTTGTAACCACTCTGCCAGCCGCTAATCTTTAAGGAGTAGATTTTTCCCTGCTCTCTGGTTGTTTATCTATCATCTATCAGTTTAGTGGTAACATCTTCTTATGTGTGAATATTGAAAGATATGTATATAAATTTTTATATCTGACCCAAACTGTTACTATTCCACCTGATTCAGTCAGTTGTTGTCCCATCTGATGTGGACAGTTATTGTCCCATCTCCTTCTGACGCAGACAGTTATTGTCCCATCTCCTTCGGACGCAGACAGTTAGTGTCCCATCTCCTTCTGACTGAAACAGGCGTTGTCCCATCTCTACCCAGCTTAAATGGCCAGGCCCCCATTGTGGGGAACACGAGAATAGACCCACTGCCTCCTCAACAAGCATGTCAAAGGAGTCGACTAATTGAGGACTTCCTTCGAAGTCGGAGTGCATCTGCTTGAGCGGCAAGGAACAACCAAGTGCACACACACACACACACACAAGCCAATGGAATGGATGTACACGCAAAACTCAAACCCTGACAGAAAGCAAAAACCCAATTGGGCGAACAGTCAAGACTTTCCGCCGGACATCCTAATCGCACATAAGAAAAGTCCATCATCACTGGGGTCCAATCTTCAGTATCTTTCCCCAGAGTGTGGCGACTAAAAAAACCGGTTGCTGTGTTGGTTTACTATTCTTCTTTGACTGCCTGTATAGTGTTCATGTGAGTTGGCTGATGGCCTGTGCTCCATTGGGGGAAAACGGACAGAAGAAGAAGAATGTAGCGACACACTGGATGTTATGCAACTTGAGAATTAGGCTTAGCAGATATAATACTGAACACTCATTTATGTGTCTGTCTGTTACAATAATGTATGTCTATTACATTTGTCGGCTCTGTGGCTAAGTCGATGCAAATGCTTCGTAATGCTGGGATCAATCCAGTGGTATCAAGAAAGCCAACAGTCCAGAAGCAATGGCAAACTACTGGACGTAAAATTTGCCTAGAAAAACCACACAACAGCCAGGGGCTGTTAGGGTTGTTTCTGCAACGTCCTGTAAAGGATATGCAACTAACCTGTTACATTTATTTGTCTGTATGTTTCAGTTTACGTGGACAACGTTCACAGACCTGGATACATCCTGCACCTTGTCCATCACTCTAACTATTGGGGCAACTATGAGCCTATGGACGGAGGTGAGTCTTCTCGTGTGTCTATAGGAATATCAAATAGATTGATGAAATTAATAGAAAAGAGCTTCTGTTGTTTTGGCAGCCAGATGCACAACTTTCACAAAGCGGAGGCAAAAGATGTGGAGCTGACAAATATACATGCCCACTAGACGCTCAAGTAGTCAAACAACTCTTGTTTCCATTTTGTAGAAGACTTGTACCATCCTATCTATTTCTAAGAAAAAATAACTTGAAAGAATGCAAGAAGGGTGAACAAGGCTGCAGGAAGTTAGAGGTAGCTGATGCTGGAGGTCATGACCGATCGCTCCATCAGTTTGTCCCCTCTAGTCTGCTACCTGAAGGTTTACCATCCTGAGATTTAAAAAAGTCCCAACCCCCAGTGATGTTATAATTAGGGCACCTGTGATGGCTTCACCAGTCAGTTGTAACCTGCAGTCTATGCAGATAAGGACGAAACATCAGATGTCACCAGCAACCGGGTCACCCATCGGCTGCTGGGTAGACGACTTCGTCGCTGGTCGGGACAGTACTTAGGCCTGTCTCCTTTGGCCGCATCAACACTGTAAGAGTCCTTTTCTAGCCTACTCAATGGGGAGCATTGCTAAGCCATTTTATATGGCGCACATAACCTAGTCATAATTATAACCCAAAGCTTCCCCTTCCTGGATGGCGGTTGAACGTAACAATTTTTTCGCAGAGCAAGCCAAGCCAAGACAAATGTCAATAGTAATTATAAAAATAAGGCAGAGATTACAAGTAAAAGATATAGGCCAAACACCACGTGATGGAAAAGCAAACAAAGCTATGCTCATCAAGAAGAGTGACAGTGGTAAATTTAAAAAGTTACACAAAGATAATCAGTGAGTTTTTAGACAAATACCTTGTGTGATATTTTAAGCCCAGTTCTGTAGGAAGGGGGGAGGGGTGGATAGACCCACTGACTGCCTAACAAGCTTGTTGTACAAGGCTGACTGGGTAGGGGGGTTTTCTTCGTAGTCGAAGTGATCTGATGGAGAGACAAGGAACTAAAAATATGCCCTCAGACAAGCCATATCTGTTAAATAGATGTGTATGCATAACGCATATTCTGAAACAAGACCAAAGTCCAGACGTGGACAAACAACCAGAACTCTCTTCCAGAGTTTACAGCTGGTGAACATGGAGTAAAAGAGCACAGTGGACTCGAGAACTTGGTACAATTAGTAAGATTGACGGAAAGAAAGTAAGTGAAAAATTGAAGGGTCGAGACAAGAACATTGACCTGATGCATGATTCTGGTGATCACCTAACACAGCCTATGCATACCCACCCGCCACCTTGTGATGACGATAAAACATCAGGTTGTGATCTGTGCTTGTCAAGTGGTTTATGCTCTTTTCTAATGCCAGCAACATGTCAAACAAAACTTTCGCACACAGGAAAACTTACAACTGTAATCATAGCTTTGGAAGATACTATAGAGATAGTGGTGAATGGTGTCAGGATATTGCAGAGATAGTGGTGAATGGTGTCAGGGTATTGCATGGATAGTGACGAATGCTGTCAGGGTATAGCAGGGATAGTGGTGAATGGTGTCAGGGTATAGCAGGTATAGTGGTGAATGGTGTCAGGGTATGGCAGAGATAGTGGTGAATGGTGTCAGGGTATAGCAGGTATAGTGGTGAATGGTGTCAGGGTATGGCAGAGATAGTGGTGAATGGTGTCAGGGTATAGCAGGTATAGTGGTGAATGGTGTCAGGGTATGGCAGAGATAGTGGTGAATGGTGTCAGGGTATAGCAGGGATAGTGGTGAATGGTGTCAGGGTATAGCAGGTATAGTGGTGAATGGTGTCAGGGTATGGCAGAGATAGTGGTGAATGGTGTCAGGGTATGGCAGGGATAGTGGTGAATGGTGTCAGGGTATGGCAGAGATAGTGGTGAATAGTGTCGGGGTATAGCAGGGATAGTGGTGAATGATGTCAGAGTATGGCAGAGATAGTGGTGAATGGTGTCAGGGTATAGCAGGTATAGTGGTGAATAGTGTCGGGGTATAGCAGGGATAGTGGTGAATGGTGTCAGAGTATGGCAGAGATAGTGGTGAATGGTGTCAGGGTATAGCAGGTATAGTGGTGAATCCCACCCAGACTACTATGGCAGAGATAGTGGTGAATGGGTGTCAGGGTATAGCAGGGATAGTGGTGAATGGTGTCAGGGTATAGCAGGGATAGTGGTGAATGGTGTCAGGGTATGGCAGGGATAGTGGTGAATGGTGTCAGGGTATGGCAGGGATAGTGGTGAATGGTGTCAGGGTATAGCAGGGATAGTGGTGAATGGTGTCAGGGTATGGCAGGGATAGTGGTGAATGGTGTCAGGGTATGGCAGGGATAGTGGTGAATGTCGATCAAGAGGTACAATGTTTTTTTAGCAGTGAGTTCAGCCAGGAAGCTAGAGGACAGTCACGACACATAGTATCAGCTCTGACCAGAAGCCTATGGACGACCCACCCAGACCACTATCCCAGATTTCAGGAGACCAGTTCACAAACACATTTGACCATCAGCGTCAGGATATGGTATTCGGAATGTAGGTGTCTTCTTGTGGGATGGTCTGAAGAATGTCATGATAGTCAAAAAGATTTGAGACAAAAGTCGACAAAGAAAAACACATTTATCTTAAGAAAAAGTCACAGAACCAATTCTGAATACAAACAACACATGTATTGGTTAGCCCACTCAAAGAGACTGCCTTGTAAAGGCACACCAAACAAGCCACACCATACAAGGCACACCATACAAGGCACACCATACAAGGCACACCATACAAGGCATACCATAAAAGGCATACACTAAAAGAGGATAACAACATAGAGCATGAGGTAGAAGAAAAACATCTGAAAAGATAACATCAGAGAAACTCTACAACAGCCTGATGTGTCTTAAGGCAGCCAAAAGAGCAAGGAGCAGAACTTTATATCTCCTCCCACACCCAGTGTGGTAAAAGAGGAAGTGAACAAAGGAAGGGGTAGGAGACTCAAGATGCGGACGTATCTAGAGCCAGGTGGATGATACAGCTGTGTGAATCTTATCCTGTGGGGATGATACAGCTGTGTGTATCTTATCCTGTGTGGATGATACAGCTGTGTGTATCTTATCATGTGTGGATGATACAGCTGTGTGTATCTTATCCTGTGTGGATGATACAGCATTGTGTATCTTATCCTGTGCGGATGATACAGTTATGTGTATCGTATCCTGTGTGGATGATACAGCTGTGTGTATCTTATCCTGTGTGGATGATACAGCTGTGTGTATCTTATCCTGTTTGGATGATATAGCTGTGTGTATCTTATCCTGTGTGTTTCAGGTCCAAGCCCCAAACATTGCCAGGAGCTGATGGCCAAAGAAGACGTCAAGGTTAGGGAGGTTGAGACCAAGTACAAGAAGCTTATGGCAGACAACAATGTAAGTATTTGTTCAACATCTCTCTTCCAGTGTCCAACATCTTCCTCTCAGTGTCCAACATCTTCCTCTCAGTGTCCAACATCATCAGTGTATTTTATATATATGTAAAGCAGCTAACAGAGCAACATAAACAAAAAATAAAAACAAAGGCCAATAGATTCTACGTTTATATCTGTAGATGATAAAATCCTTCCATAAAAACAATTTTAGTGTGGGCACGGTTCAAAAAGTCTCCTCCTGTGACTGTGAGAGAAAACTGTCATTTTTTGAGACATTTGTTTACATTTGTAATGGTCCTTTACTGATTTTCCTGGAGAAAAGTATCAGCGGAAGGTGTCTGCAGATTTTAGTGCCACTTGATACTCAGAGCACCACTCGATAGTCAGGGGATCACTCAGTAGACAGGGGGTCACTCAGTAGTCCATGGGGGTCACTCGGTAGTCAGGGGGTCACTCGGTTTTCAGGGGGTCACTTGATAGTCAGGGCGCCACATGGTAGTCAGGGGGTCACTCGGTTGTCGGGGGTCACTCGATAGTCAGGGCGCCACTTGGTAGTCATGGGCTAACAGAGCCACATGGTAGTCAAAGGCCAATCACTATGTTTTGTCTGTAGGGGTCACTCCATAAAAACAATTTTAGTGGGCACGGTTCCAAAAGTCTCCCACTTGGTAGGCAGGGTGCCACTCAATAGTCAGGGCACCACTCAATAGTCAGGGCGCCACTTGGTAGTCAGGGCACCACTCAATAGTCAGGGCACCACTCAATAGTCAGGGCACCACTCAATAGTCAGGGCACCACTCAATAGTCAGGGCGCCACTCAATAGTCAGGGCGCCACTCAATAGTCAGGGCGCCACTTGGTAGTCAGGGCACCACTCAATAGTCAGGGGGTCACTCAATAATCAGGGCGCCACTCAATAGTCAGGGCGCCACTCAATACTCAGGGCGCCACTCAATACTCAGGGCGCCACTCGTTAGTCAGGGCGCAGGCACGACAAGTAGTTAACCAGATGACACAAGCTACTGTTGACAAACTTTTCCCTGGCAGTTGAGGAAGGACAAGGAGCTACAGTGGACTTGCCCTGAATGCTCCGATGCATTATCATCTTTACCCAGATAAACACAGATTTACAAAACAAAACAAAACCGTCTACATCCGGTTTTTTCCCTGACCCCTCGTCCCTCTTGTGTTTATCAGGTGTCTGCACAATACCCCTATCAGCGTTTCTCAACCTGTGGGTCATGACCCCCATTTTTTTAATCGAACGACCCTTTCACAGGGGTCGTCAGTGACCATAGGAAAACGCATATTTATTGAAGTTATGAAGTAGCTACAAAAATAATTATATGTTTGGGGATAACCACAACGTGAGGAGCCGTATTAAAGGGTCACGGTATTAGGAAGGTTGAGAACCTCTGTCTAATTTCACATCTATTCTCAACTCGTTATTTCGTACGTCAGTGATTACTATTTTGCTATTAAACACAAAATAATATTATAATAATCTAATACATCTATATTTTTCTAAGATTTCTTGTATTCAGTGAGAATCCTGTCTATGTTGATTTATTGTTATC